GAGGGGAGGGAGGGAGGGAGGGGAAGGGGGGAGCAGAGGCGGGCGGGAGCGCGCTGTGCTGGGGCCTCTCTGGGCTGTGTGGGGCGCCACTGAGACACGCGAGGCGAGGCTGCGCGGCCACCGGCCCGGCGTCAGGCCTCCTCGGCCTCGGCCCCGACCCCGTACCTCACGTGGACACTATCCGGTCGCACGTGGACACGTGGCTGCGCCGTGGCGTCCGTCGGTCTGGCCGTGAGAAGTGCGCAGGCCCCTCAGGGAGCCGGAACGTGGCTCCCGACCGCGCGCGCGGGCGGCAGGTAACGCTACCGCGTGCCTGACGGGGACCGAGAACCCAGCGGCTTCCCTCGGGGGCGCGCTCGCCCGCGTCCCGCCTCGGCCGCGCTAGCTCCCCACAAGTCTGTGAGGAGCGCGAGGGAGCGAGCGCCCGCCCGCCGCCGCTTTCCAGAACACTCCCTGCCGCGGCCCGCACGCGTCCTGCCGCGGTGAGGGCGGAAGAGCCGCGCTTTCAGCTTCTGCCCACCTCGTGCGTGCGCGTGCGCGTGCGCGTCGCGGCGCTTCCGGGAGGCCGCTTCCTCCCCGGTCTCCTAGCAACGGGGGAAGCGTTGTTAATATCCCGGGAGGCCTTGGTGCTGTCTTGAGCCTGAAGTCGCGCCGGCCACGCAATGGTAAAGTCTTGGGGCCTCAAGTGGAAGTGGCGTCCTGAGGCCATGGCGAAGCTAGCTACCCAAAAAGCTTCTTTGGGATGGGGGCGAGATGTCTAGCTAGGTAGAGGGCTGATTTTGGGGGTGACAATTCGGGAAAGGTGATGGGGAGAAAGAGTAGAGATGCAGTAGATGACGAGGAGACAGGAGAGATGGAGTGGATGAAGGGGAGAGAGAAGAGAGGTGGAGTGGATGGGGGATGCTGAGGAGGATGGGAAGTCTTGGAAAGTAGGACAGTTTGCAAGGTCCAGGGGGGCAAAAATGAGAGGAGAAAGCGATGGGATGGGGAGGGAGGAGAGGGAGGAGAAAAGAAGATCAGGAGAAAGTAGCTTTGGAAAGAAGTGAAGGGGATCAGGGAGGACCATTCTTCCTTCGAGATTAAAAAGCAAGAAAAAGCCAAGAGGGACTGGGGGAAACAAAGAGCTTTAAGAGGGGAAAGGGGGTACACGTGGGGAGGAATAGATTGTACTAGAAGGACTCAGCAATCAGAAGAAGAGAAGCACGGGGCGGGGAGAATAGAGTGTTGTGCGGAGCAGAGGACATTGTCTCACGAGTGGTCAGAAATGGAACCAATAATTGATCCCCCAGCACAGCTATTAGGACGAAGTGCAGTTTCCCAAAAAGGAATGTAGACATACCAGAGTGAAAACAGAATGAATCACATCGTGCAAACATCCCCTCCCTTTTCTCCCCCTCGTTTAGACGGTATGTGGGACAAAAAGCTTTTACTACTATTAGTTCCTTAATACTATCACCAGTTGATAATTTCCAGTTTTCACCTGAAGAACAGACCTCAAGCTCAAGACCTTCATTCCAGTGGAATTTTTAAAAACATGTCCTTTCTTCCTTTTATTTGTTTTTACAGTCATTTTCATCTTGACAAACGATGCTAGACTTCTATTAATAGTGATAATGGTTTCCTTTTAAGATGCACTTACTTAAGGATCTCACAATGAAATAACTTAAAGGACATGCTAGTAAAAATAGATAGCATTTATTAATAAAAATGTGAATCTAATACATCCATTCCCAAAATCCAGAGAACACTTATTGTGGTGGTGGAAAGAGGTTACATTTCTATGCTTGCATTAGGTGTATCTTAACTAAAGTAACAATGTTCATCTTAGGATGTTGGGGATGAGAACATTTTTTAAATTCTCATAAAGAGACTCTGCATAATGCTGTATAAATTCAAAATAATGATTGATTGTTCAATTATGCAGGTTTAGAAAAGACTATTCTTGATTTGGGTATTTCAAATAGAAGAAGAAAAGTGGAATAAGAGGGTGAACACATAACATTCATTCAGATAAATGAGTTTAAAAGCCACCATAATCATGCATGGGTGGAGGTTTATCTTGTATGGAGAGCCAAGCTATAATTATGAAAAGGAAATCCTGGGATATGTCGAGGGGTTGCAGAATACCCCTCTATAAATTAGTCATCCAAGTAAACCCTCATTTAGGTAACAATAAAATGGGACTTCTCACAAAACACAAATTTTGGACAGGGAGAACTCAGTGTAAGTCTAAATAGTCAAAGGACTGTAACATAGAAATTTTTGTAAATATAAAATATCCATGGCTAAAAGATGGTCTGGGACAAATTTCTGTCCAGTGTAAAAAATTCTTTTCTAGTAAAGACAGACAAAAACATACTAAAATCTTGTAGGGGCAATAAGCTCCCTGTCTCTACAAGGGTTCCAGAAACTTGTCAGGGCTTGCTAGAGACTTGTCAGACTTAGGCAGGGGTGGGGTCTTCCAATATGTTGGTATGTAAGACTTGACCATCTCCAGTCTGATTTATAAGAATCTAAGAACATAGTACCCATCACCATAGATTGAGGAGATAAGGGAATAAGTGTCTCTCTGGATACGTTCTGTTTAGAGTGGGTGCCACCCTTTTGGTGAATTAGTTCCCTGATCTCTTTCAGGCGGAGGTGGAGGAAACCCTGAAGAGGATCCAGAGTCATAAAGGGGTTATTGGGACTATGGTGGTAAATGCAGAAGGTAAACACTTCCCAGTCTGCCTTCCCGACACATCAGAGCCAACCAGAAACCTGTTTGTTGTGCCAGGCACTTAGACACACATCTTAGAAACTGACACCAAAAGCCTATTCTGTATATTTTATCCATTGCATTTATTTCACAGACATCTGTTGAGTATCTGTCACATGCAAAACCCTCTGCTAAGAACTAGGGCTACAAATATGAATGCAGTATGTCTAAAATGTGTTCATATTCTTAAACACTATAGATTATCAACTTTTAAAACTTAGGTAATTCCCTTTATCATTTTAGGAGTACTAATAAAACTGTCACATTGGAGATAAGGAGAATCTCATTTTTGGATGTTTGGTTTTGTGTCAACATTATAAAGGATACCGAGTTTCAGTCTTCATTCTTTTTCCACATCTAGTAAAAAACAAAAAAACAAAAAAAACCTTTGAGAATTTGTTGTCTTATCACTTATAGGATCATCTTCATGGATGTAGGATAAGAAGGGTCAATACATCTCCAACCAGGAAACCTGATTCCTTGCCAAAAACTTGCTCTCACTGCACAATCCTTATTAAGGATCCACTTGGCATTTTCTCTGGCATTTGATCTGTGCTTGACTACAGTAGCAACATCTTCAAGGTTCCTGTTGGTTCTATTGCTCATTCAGGCAATTGTAAGGGAAAGAGGTACCAGAAATTGCAGGACATTCATTGAAATAAGAGTAGCTGCTTCGCCTAAGTCATAGTATAGCATAGAATTGGTTTGTTACCGGTTCATAATCTGGCAAGTCTATCAATGAATACTTACTGTGCAACCATTTATTCCCTTCCCATTAAGGATAGAAAAATCACCTACTTTACTGGTGGTTGTGACAATTAAATGAGATGATTGTCAAGTGTCAGACACAGCAGCTAACACGTTAATTATTCTGAGAATGTGGAAATTTTAATGTATTTTACAGAGAACAAATTTCATTGGTCTTATAAAATAAAACATAACTCAATGATGATAATGAATAGACCACAATAAATTCACCCAACTTGAGTAATCAGAGGACTGGGGTCATCTTTACAAGCTAGTCAAGAGCTATGCCAAATATTTCCAGTAAGTGGTCCAGCTCCAGTGTGTGGCTCTGGATAAGCTGATTTGGCCTTCAGTATTTGCATATGCTGCCTCACCCCTGTGGTGAGCTATGCACACAATTTGAGGTGCTATGTTAGCTTCCTTTGGCTGCAGAAACAAAATACCATGCTCTTGGTGGTTTTAAAACATACCAGATTTTTTCTCAGTCTAACGGCCAGAGTTGAAGCTATGACATCACTGAGTCATTCTGTCATTGAAAACTATGGAGAAGGGACTGTTCTTCTACCTCCTAGCTTTAGGTGGCTCTTCTCAGTCCTTGATGCTCTTTTGGCTTACAATGTTCATGTCTGTCCCCAAGGCCCAGGGCATTCTGTGGTCTGTGTGTCTATCTACTATGAACTAGAACCCAAACTAATCCAATATGGCTGTATTGTAACTAATTACATTTATTCAAAATAAAGTAACCTTTTGAATTTCAGGTGGACTTGAATATGGAGGGACCTGTCTATCCAGTAGAAAGGTCATTCTCCCATGGCTCCCAAGCCAATACGTCTAATGTGCTTCATTGGAATATCTTAGTCAAAACCACACAACCCTGGCAATATATGTCAAATGTCTGAAAAAATATCTACAGCCTGGATCAGTAACTCTACCCCTAAGAATTTATCATAAGGAGGAAGCAAAGATTAAGATAGAATACTCACTATGGTATCATATGTAATAATCATAACAGTCAAATCAGAAATTTTATTTGGATAGTAGGCAAGGCAGTTTTTTAAATTAGTCATTAACTATTTACTTGATGAACATGACTATTTTAAATGTTGATGAATATTTGAGGAATAACAATGAACTATTATGAGAACACAGGGAATGAAGCTGCAACCAGCTGTTTTTATCATTCCTACAGCAAGTACACACACATACACTTAAAATAAGGAAAGGTTATGTTAGCATGATCTTTGAGTATTGGAAGTCTAAGTGACTTTTCTGTCTATTTTCCTCAGGTTTCTCAATTAAAACCTCACTTATCTGAAGGCAACAAAATATTATTTTTAATACCCATTAACTTTTCATTAACCTCTACTAGGATAAGATTACGTTAAGATTCAGGGAAGTTCTCAAGATTGGATACTCAAATTTTTACCTGAAAGTCAAATTAACCTTTTTCTCCAAAATATAAATGAGAGGCTTTTTTATAGTCAGATTATTAATAACCAGAGTGTATGACATGGATGTTTATTAATGACATATGGCATAAGTTATGTGACCAGAATGTAATAAAATACTCAATCTCAACAGCCTACTCAATTTTGGATGAAAGTGTCATTTATTATAGTTCAGTCTTGCAGCTTTACAAGTTTTGGAAATCCAGTACTAAAAATATTTAACTAAGGTGGTGATTGGGTCTTCTTGTTCTCTGCTAGCAGTTTTGGTCTACTAATTATAGGAAGTCATTTCAACATATTTTCAGATGGTCTGTGTGGTTGGATAGAGTCGCTATGTTTTTTCCCTTTATATGTCATCAGATATCATATTAAACATTAGTCTTTTGGATTCACTGTTATTTCCTAGGTGTAACAATAAAGTTGACTTATCAATTTGTCAGTGCTGAATGATATAGGTCTTTAGATTAGAGTCTTTG